CCCCCCCCCCAGCCCTGTTCATTGGCTATAAATTCCCACTTGTCCTTGTATTTAGAGTTCAACCTGAGTGAGAGTTCTTGCCTTATTGCAAAACCCCTATTGCAATAGTCTTACCTTTATAACAACTGTCAGAATAACTTTTTCTTTAACAGTTCATACACACAGGATTTGGATCACATTGATGGTATAGTTTTCTAAATTAATTTTATTTAACAATACATCTGTAACATTCAATGAAGTATTTTTCAACAATACTTCTATTAGCTACTTATCATTTCTAAGATGCCACAAGTAAAATGTGACCTCAGGGGTTAAAATAATAATAATTTGGGTATATTGGATTAAGTAAAAAAGTGTATGGGGGGGGTGTGTGTGTGTTTTTTAAGTGACCTCAGGGTCAAGATAAAGTCCCTTGCTAAGATCTCAGGAAATTGTAAGGAAATGATTCCCAAGTACTCCTGGCTAGAAAAAAGGTTTCTAAGAATCTTAAAAGTGTGCCTCCTAATCTTCTCAGCTAGACAAAAGAGCAAGAATATGGGTGTTATCACATTCTGACTTGGAGTCCGAATGGAAGGGTGCTGTATCTGTGAGATTGGTGGGGGTGGTTTTTATCTAACTTAGTGAAGATTCACAGACAACACAATGCTTTTAAGAGAACTGAACAAACAGAAACACAACCAGCTTGCACTAAAATAACAGTTCAAACTGAAGTCACTAGGCTCCCAACCCTCTGTGGGTGGGAAGCAGGCTGAGCAAACTGTTCAGCTGCAAATCAGGCCTTTAAATATGGAGTAAGTTAGGATGACCCAAAAGGTGCAGCTAAGAACTACATCAGGTCCTAGTCACGGATGGACGATGTTCCCAGGGGTGGTTCCCTGGGTGTGGTTCTGTGGGTGCAGACTTGAGAACTAAAAAAGACAAGTTATCTGCCTCCCATGAGTTTAAGTGTAATATGAAACAAGCAGAGTAACTATAATAATCACTTTCACAATGTGGGGATGAGTGTATGTAAAGGTCAGTTATATCCTGAATAGAGCTGGTGGGAGAGGAAAATGAGAGGTTGCTGTTTAATGGATACAATCTCAGTTTTGAAGATGAAAACAGTTCTTGAGATCGGTTGCACAACAGTGTGGACATACTTAACACTACCAATTGCACACTTAAAAACAGTTAGGATGGTAAATTTTGTTATGTGATACAAAAAACAGTTCAGGAAACTAATCTCATAAAAATGAGGGTTAGAAGTATCAAGATTAAATCCTATAAAGATATTGTAGTAAAAACAGAAGTATTATACAATACTACTAAAGAAAATTTAAAAGGTCTATATGAAAGAGAGGTATAATCATAAATCAGACTTAATGTATTATGTCAATTCCTTACCAAACTGATCTAATGCCTCAATGCCATCCCTCCCAATCAAGGGAATGGACAAGTTAATTCTAATTCTAAACTTTAAAGGGAAATGAAGAAGACCTAGAATACCCAAATACTGAAAAAAGAACCACATTGGAAGATACACATTACCTTCTTTAAAGACTTACTTTAGCCCTGGTCAGTTTGGCTCAGTAGTTAGAGCGTTGGCCCTTGGACTGAAGGGTATTGGGTTCAGTTCCGGCCAGAGGCATGTACCTTGGTTGCAGGTTCGATCCCCGGCCCCAGTAGGGGCTCGTGAGGGAGGCAATCAATCAGTGTGTCTCTCTCACATCAATGTTTCTCTCTCTCCCCACCCCTCTCTCCACTCTCTCTGAAAAGCAATGGAAAAAATACCCTCGAGTGAGGATTGAAAAAATAAAATAATAAAATAAAGACTTACTCTAATTCTCATATTTAAGATAGTGTGTAACTAGAATATGAAAAAGGAAGCCGGCCACAGGGGCTTTCAGCCAGAGAGAAGCTTAAAAACCTTGGGTGTTCATGTTTGTGTTTTGTTTTCAAGAATCACAACAGACTCTATGAAGTTTAAGAGAAAGTTGATTAACATTTGAAGGCAACATCTTGGAAAACACTACTTGTAGGACTTTAATTATAAATGTGTCCAACAGAAGGGAGAAAAACAACATGGTTTTCAGTTTTAAGTTTTATTAAAGTACAGAGTTAACAAGTTTTGAGTTTTCTACATAGGAAAAGACATCAACTTCAGACGCTTCATAGAAAAATTAGCATTAAAAAAACAAATATAAATCCATAGTTGTCTTTGTGACTAAAGGGGGGGAAAAACTATTTAAAAAGTTACCAAAACTCTAACCATATCTGTGACCCTTACGAATTTCAAACAGTAGATTTACCACACGTATTACACTTTCAAAATTCTAATATTGCAAACATAACCACATAATTAGGCTACAACTAATTGTTTCAGAAAATTTTTAAAAAATTAACAAAGTTATGACTATAAAATTTTTGTAGAGTTTTTTCTGTAAAGTAAAAAAAAAAACACAAAAACCCTTAAACTTTTATTTAAGGAAATCAAAACAATCCTCTTAAATTTATTATAAATAGCTCTCAAGACATATATTACCCATCTGCTACAGCTTTCCTTACCTGAGAGACTTCCCAGGATCCTTCATGCCAAAGGATTACCTTCAAGAATTCTTCCATAATTTTACTCACATAAATATGATTAAACTCCCATAGAAGTGAATTTGGACATATGTATTCTTAATTCCCCCTTCCCCTATTTAGTTTTTCCTGAAAGAATTATACTTAAGACAAAACAAAAGAAACACACCTCTTTGGTAAAATGAACACCTCTGCAAATGATTTACTGACGAAGAAAAACGAGAATGGTCTTGAGAATGTCCAGCATTAGTTCAGAAGATGTGTGTAAATAAATAGCCCTCCAGTCCTGTGAAGTAGGTCTAACATTAGAGAGTCCATCTCTGCCTGAAATGCAAAACTATATTAAAACGTCTGAGTCTTTACAATTTTATCAAAGGTGGCAGGAAACATGATGGCCTTAAGAACAAAGCCAAAGGGAGTTAGTGCTATTGGCAAACTAAGAATGTCCTACAGAGAATTCCGAGAACCAAGTGGCCACTGCACTTTCCCTGGTTAAATAAAGAAGGCCAAGTGTTCTCTCTGGGCATTTGGGGTCTTTCTCCAAAGTCACACCCTTCTTAGTTACAGGATAAACCCTCTTTCGTTTCCAAGAGGGGTGTAGCACAGGAATGCACACCAAACTGAGATGCTATTTAGAAAGGCAGTCAAGGGAGAAAAAAGCCCAGGCAGCTTAAATGCAGGCTCTGGAATTCCCTTTTTGAAGGTAACATGGAGCACCAATGGTAGTAAACTTCTGGCCAAAATTAAGCACGTAATTTTAAAAAGGCATATTAAAAAGGCAGAGGGTGACAACTGGGGTGGGTGGAACTAGCACTACACGGAGGTCATCCGTAATGAAGGAACATCTGAGGAGCCAGGACTAAACGATTACGAGTGGGAGCCCCGACTGGCTACTCCTGAGGGCGCCAGGGCCCCAAGTCCCAGAACGCCACCCTCTCAGGCCCGCGTGGACGCGGTTAATCACACCACCGACGAGCTCCCAATACACCGGGCGACCAATTCCTTCAAGAAACTGCGGATGAAGCCAAAGCCAGCAACAGGGACCCAGCCAGGATAAAACAGGGCGCAGGAAAGCCCGGACAGAAAAGTCCCCGGGCTTCGGCAGGCGACGCGGCTAGGTAAACAGCAAGGCTCCCGAAAGGACCCCGTCCCCACTTAGTCTTTTACTCATGGGAATGATGGGGGAGAAATTTTCCACATCAGATGAGTAGCACAGAGGAAACAGACACAGAGTTTTTAAAACTGTCAGGGCTTTCATTGCTAAAGAGTCTGACCAGCAGCTTCCAGGGATGTACTTTTTAAGTCACGTACAAAAAGTTGTAGGAAGTGAAAGTCTATTATTTAAAAAAGAATTTATCAAATAAACGCCATCATTATAGCAACTCAAAGAAATTGGCAATATTTTTCCAGTTTCTTAAGCCACAATAGCACAAAAACCGTAAGTTCTTTAAACCTACATTTGAATGTTGACTCATGGCCTGAGTATTGTTTATGACCCTTAATAATCATGAAAGCCAACTTAATTTATAGGCCCGCCATCCTCAGAGTACATCCGCATCTCTCTTGCTCATTCAGATAAACCTGCTTAAATTCTCAGTTGAGAATAAAAACCAGGTGACTGTAACTACTCCTCTTGTGTCAGACCAAATCTTAGAAAGGAACTTCAGGCCACAAACCAAGTCTTAAGCATCTGGAAACTGAGGGCTGGCTGGGCAGGCTAAGGAAGGAAGCTCCCAGGGCCTGCCACTGGCCTGTCCTTTTGTGTGTGTTTCCCTGAGCTGCCTTCTGCAGGGAAAGGAGGCCGACAAAGGCCAGCCAAGGAATACACCACTTTGTCAGCTTGACCTCGACCTGCTTAAGGACCAGTTCCAAAGTCGCACAGCTGGCTACCAGACCCAGCTAGCCGGAAAAAAAACTAACAAAACTTGTTACTGACACAACCCCAGCTCTTGATCTCCCTCTTTTCGTGGACTTTCCTAAGGCCAGGCTCACTCAGAGCCCTTTGTCACTGCACCGGCCACTGCAGTGAGCAGGAAGCCGCCGCTACACACCCAGCCCCACTCCCTCAGCCTGTCCCCACCCACAGAGCTCCACTCCCACGGGCTTTCTAGGGGCTGCACGTGGCAGATATTCATTTTGACTCCAGATCATCTTTCAACTGCTGAGCACAAAGAGCTCCTGGCCTAAAAAAAGGCTCTTTCTCACACACAACTGCCTTTTAAAACTGAATCTCAGACACTGTCAATAAGGCAAGTTCCCAGAAGAATTCATCCATTGTATTTGTTTTTCTCCTTTGTTTTCTTAGGAGGAGGGGGAAAAAGTAGAAATGAAGAATTTGGCTAATTTCCAAAGCCAGCATTTTGGCACACTGGAGCCCAGCTTACGTGGGGCCCGATTCTGCCCAACTCCTCCAGGAGGGCACAGGGCCGTCTTTTCCATGGTTGAAGGCTCTTTCCATCCTGCATGAAATACTAACAGGAGCGTCCCCACGGTGTCTCCACTGGGGTCTCTAATGGACTTTCTACCAAGTAAACTCTTTCCTGACTGACAACATCAGCGCTGAAAATGGACATTTTCTTGGGCAGCCCATGAGTATAACCTTACAAGTATGTATTTTAGAAATTTCTGTAGATGTTAGTTATGGCTTAATTACATAGCCTCACCACCCACCTTTCCTTCTACAACTTGTCTAACAGCCTTACTTGGTTAGCCCTGTCTGAGGTGCTGCCTGTGATCCCCACCTCAGCAAATCTACTCCAAAAAAAAATCCCATACCGCATTAATGGTGTGGTCCCATTACAGATCTGGAAATTAAAAGCCCTCTGCTTTTTACCATTTCAAAGGCCTCAGGTAGAAGAGAAACTGGGGCGTGGCCTTAACAACTGAGAGGGGTACAGCAGGCTTCAGCCAGGAAGCAACTTTTCAGATAAAGTATTATTACTATTAATAAAGTATTATTACTATTAATAGCATGAACAAGTAAGAACCAGAGCCCTCCATCGTTTAGACAAAGGAAACAACAAGAATATTGTTCTATCATCATGTGACTAACTCCACAAATAAGTCAGAATTATTGCAATGACTCGGATCAGGTAGTGATGATACGGTGGGGGGGGGGATCACACAGGTGGTGATAGCAAATTGTGCTTTTTCACATTATAATGAAGATGCTGAACCCAGAAAGGACGACAGCGGACCTCTGGGAAGGTGACCGAGGACATGGCAGGTGTGATTCCCAGCAGCACACCTTCAAAGGGAAACGTCTGGGGGCGGGGAGGAGGCAGCACAGGTGGAGTTAAAAGCAGGTGCTTCCTCTTGTGCCCTATAAATACCAGGGGGCTGTGCACAGGGTCCTGCAGGTCGAGGTGTAGGCAGGGGTCTGCATTCTGTCAGGGGATCAGAGCTCAAGATTTTAGCATGTTTTCTGTTCCAAGGATAAGCACGACAGGCAGGCCACACAATGTAAATTTCTCTCCCTGTGAGATGGCATACTCCAAATTCTGTTTTGGTAAAAACATGCAGAAGAAAAACACTAGCCTAACCACTACCCCAGTTCAGGGTAAGACACATACAAAATATAGTACCACTCAGGATCAGCTTGGTTGAAAATTTCAATTCTTTTGGGATAACCTGGTAGTTTCTTTTCGAATTTCAGAATGAAAAAGCTTATCAGGTGATTTTTTTTTTTTTCCCCTGAAAGCCTCTTCAAACACACTCAAGCCAGTCAAGGGATGCCAGCTTTTCAAAAAGCGCCAGTCACTGCTCAAACCCCTGGGACACTTGTTCAAAGGACGTCACTTCCAGCTGCAGGCCTGCTGAACCGAGGGGACTGCTCAGGTCCTCACACATAGAACTGGCGAGAAGGACAGCAGAGGGGTGCAATCAGTGTCCACAGGTACAGCAGCACGCACATCCAGCAGGAGGCCATCTTCACCCAGAAGATGGACCAGCTCCCGCTGAAGAAGGTTTCAATGTAGGCACTTTCATAGCTGGGGAAACAGAGAGCCCGCTGTGGTCAGAGCAGGAAGACAAGGTCTCTTCTACCAAGTGTCACCTGCTTCTGTCCCCCCCCCCGCAGCCTTTCTTGTTTTCCTAACAACTGAATTCACATATAATTCACACCCATTTATAGTGTACAGCTCAATGACTTTTAGTATGTACACAGACTTGTGCAACAGCCACCACAATCAATTTTAGAACATTCTCATGACCCCAAAAAGAAACCCTGCACCCTTTGGCTGCCCTCCCATTTCTTCCCCTCCTCCCGCCCCTGGCATTCACTCATCTACCTTTTGGTCTTTACGGATTTGTCTATTCGGACATTTTCATTTTCATACGGAATCATGTGGTCTCTTGGGACTGGTTTTTCACTCAGCACAGTGGTTTCGGAGTTCATCCCTGTTGCAGCATGTATCAGTACTGCACTGCTTTTTACTGCTGAGGAGTGTCCCATCGTCTGGACACAGCACCTTTTGTTTCTCCATCATCAGCTGGACATTTGGGTTGTTTCCACTTTGTGGCTAGTATCAATGCTGCTGCTGCGACACTGTGGACTAGTTTTTGTGCGGACATAAACGTGCCTTTTCTTCACTTGGGTATATACTTAGCAGCAGAATTGCCAGATCGTATCGTAACTCTATGTTTAACATTCTGAGGAACTGCCAAAGTGTTTTCCAAAGCAGCTGCACCATGTTACAATCCTACCAGGAGTGTGAGAGGCTTCCAATTCCTCCACTTCCTCCGCAGCATTCGTTATCATCTGCCTGACTGATTGCGGCTCCCTCCATTTCTTAAGTTTCCCAAGCCAGGAATTCTCAACGTATCGCTGGGAAGCTTTCGATGCTGGCTCCCTATCCTGGCCCTCAGGAGGCTGTTGGGAAGACGTCCCCGGCACTGCGCTGGAAACCGCCCCCCA